CATCCCGTCCTTTTGGTCCGTAAGTCTTGTGGTGTCATAAATTTAATCCGTTTTTACGTATTATAAATTGAACACTTTAAGATTTATTTAAGTAAATTGTTTTGATATTTAACTAAAACTTTTTGGGGCTTTTGCAAAAATGCCCCTTTTTCAATGCCACTTTTCAAAAATGCCTCTTCTTTAAAACCTTATAAAAAATGCTCTTAAAAATCCCTTACATATTAATAGAGAAACATTTTTAAAAATAAACATTCCTTTGATGTGTTATTAACTAAACTGCCATGCTGACGTGTCGCTTTCAGAATGATTTTCCACCCATTTAAATTATTATCCAAATTTTACTAGACTATTTACAGATTTTGCCATTAGTCTTAATACATATATATATATATATATATATCACACAAATAAAAAAAAAAAAAAGCGAAATTATAAATAAAAAGCAAATAAGAGCTTTGTTTATTTATATTAATGATCTATTTTTTAATAATTAAAAAACATACACTTTTTGTTTATCTTAAATTAATAAATCTTTATTTTTCTTTATATACATTTATATAAATCTTCTCAAGCCGATGGGCAAATAATCTTTGTATTTATATTTCTATTTAAATGATAAAATATATAAATTTGGTTCAAGAATCTCGAATTTAAAACTAGAAAATCTCTACATCTTTCATAAATTTTTATATCTATTGTACTTAAATAAATAAGATAATCTCTTTTTTATATATGTTAGGAATACTTCAAATCCGATTTTTTTTTGAGGGATTCTAACTTTTCGAAGAAAAACTAACCACATTTATATATAAACCAAAATCTGGTCACATTATAACCATTTCGTAATAATCTATTCATAATCTAAGAATCTTAATTTGGAACACTACAAAATCTTAACTTGGAAACTATCAAATCTCATCTTTGATAAAATTTTGGATTTCTTATACTTAAATCTCAATATTCTTTTTTTTTTTCATCATTCTCAACATCTATTAAACATACAAAAAGGCATATTGTCATAAATGGTAACATTTCGTCAATATTTTTTTTATCACATTGAATCTTTATTTCAGGTTCAAATATTTCACGGGTAAAACGTATTCTTATACGAAATAGTTCCAAATTTGAATTAAAAAAAATTATTACATGTTTCGTTTTACACAAACGGATCTTGGATCCCAGATAATAATTTTAATCATAATAATTTTACTTAAATCACTTCATCCCGCACTATGTGCGGGTTGTTATCTAGTATAAGATTGTTTGACAAAAAAAAAATATATATATAAGATTTACCCAAATATGTATATAACATTATTAAAACATACACAAACTACATTTCTATGTATCTAAAATCTTATAAATACTTTATAAATACCTTATAAATGCATTTTAAATACCTTTAAAAACACCTTATAAAACCTTATAAATACTTGGATCGAGTCTTCAAGTAGTAGTTACAATCCATAAGTACCTTATAAACCTAATAAAACTTTATAAAAATTTCAGATTTAAAAAGGAGCATTTTTGAAAATAGACATCTAAAAGGGGTACACCAAAAGGGGCATTTTTAACAATTTCCCAAAATTTTATACTATACAAAATAGTTTTATTAGAAAAAATGTTTTCAAACTTAAGTGTTAATTTTAAGTACTTGAAAACAAACCGGATTTAGCATCCCGTCCTTTTGGTCCGTAAGTCTTGTGGTATCATAAATCCAACTTGTTTTCATGTATTGCAAATTTAACACTTAAGATTTTTCACAAATAATATTTTAACTAATTTTATTTTTATTTTTAACTAAAAGTTTTTTACCATACAAACTATTTTTATTAAAAAAAAATGTTTTCAAACTTATGTGTTAAATTTAAATTTCAAACCAGATTTAGCATCCCATTATTTTGGTCCGTAAGTTTTGTGGTGTCATAAATCTAACTCGTTGGAGGAGGAGGATGAATAGATGAGGAGGCTTAGATTACTAGTATAAATTGAAATTCTTTGGTTTTGTTACTGGTTAGTAAGAAATAGACTTGTATTTTTTTATTTTTGTTGGTAAACAAAATAGACTTGTATGGTCATCATCTTGCCACTTAATTCCCATTTAGTATCTTTCTTTGCTTCGAGTTTGATTTGTGTAGCATCTATATTCTGAGGTCCATTAGTGTAACCACGTCGGGTATATGGACCAGACTAGGACAAATGAATAGCAAACCAAGGAGATGCAACAGGGTAATGGAGAACTGAGTCATGTTGGTCTAGTCTTTGTCCAAGTCCATGGTTCTTAGATGGAAACTAGAAGAAGATACTAAAAGTTGTCTAGGTTAGTGCATTAGGTGCCAAGGGTGGCTCCGTGTGTTATGACTCGTGGGATCTAATGTGTTGTGAAAGCTCACTTGTGAGACTGAGACAGGTAAGTATCTAGCCTGCTATGGAATCAGATAATTTCTTGACGGTGACTGTTTCGAATTACACTTCTTTCACTTGTGGTTCAAACTCGGTTGCATATGATTTAGCTCTTTCTTTCCTCATCAATTAAAATATAAGCATGGAACATTGCCCTTGCGGTTCATCTCTGCACCATGTTCAATATTGATGTAAGAAATTATGTGGTAAAGCAAGAGAAAGCATATATGGTACACAGGAGGAAGTTTTGAGACGGAATTTTTTGTTAAGAAAGATAAGAATTAGTGGAGAAAGAACCAACGCAAAATCATTTGGATTACAAAAGTTGAAAAGACAAAGCAAACTGAGTTACGAAACACAAATCTTCTAGGACACCTTTTTAAGGCGAAATTGACAAATACAGAAGTGAAAAAAATGTCCGACTGAAAAGAGTTAAAAGTCTATTTTGTTTTTCTTCCTTCGTGGCGGGTGAGGGATTAAATTCAGGTGGGTGGTTTATGTCCTCTTCAGAATGTATCCCAAAATTAGACCGATGAGTCCGACCAGAAGAACGTACATGAATGGGATACCACCACTTTGGCTCTTCTTGCTTTCACGCCTTAACTGATCCTGCCACATCAAACCAAAATCTTTGTCAGATAACATATCTCATGATTCTAAACTAAGCTTGTGGAATATACAAGTATGATTCAAGGAACAATTTTCATGTTAAAAGATGGAGAAAAAGTAAAAGAAACACAATTTTTATGTTAGATTTTGATAAGAGCCAATGCAATGATAAGTTAAAGCATCTCTTCACAAAAAAAAAATGATAAGTTAAAGCATATCTTCTCAAATCATGGAAAAAAACACTACAAACACTTGCTCCTAATTGTTAATCATCAAAGTAATCCTCTAGTTCTAAAATTAAAAACAACAGCATGGAGGAGATTCAGAGATAAAAAGGATTCAAGTGGAAGTTCTTTTACCAGTTCTCTTTGAAGTCTGTTGTTCAGTTGAATGGCAGACTGTTTTTCTTCGGTTAGCTTGGTGATCAGAGCCCTCGCCTGAAATCACACAAAATTTAGCTGTAATGGAAATATTGTAGAATCTCTGGTGTCAAACAACAGCTAGAGGATTTGGTGCACAAAAAGATAAATGAGCTCTGGACATGGTTCTAAAAATGTAATGAACCTTTTAAGTAATCAACATAAAGAAAGATTCTCAACCTAATAAATCAGCCTAAAAGGCAACTTTCCAGTAAAGTTACCTCCAAAGTAGCAACGCATCAGTTTTAAACAGAGCAAAAGCAAAAGATGATTTCACATGATTTTGACGGTTACAAACTTGGAAAAATTGTGAAAAATACCTCAGATGTGTTTTCTTGAGGTTCAGCCCTGTCCACGCTAAATCTCTGAAACTAAAATTAAACACAAAAATACATGAAAATCTACAGAAAAATGTCTACCAGAGCACTCAAATCAAATCTTAAGTTAAAATGTACTTACAGAAAACTCAGAACCATGTCCATTATCTGAGACAGAAGCCCTGGGTGAAGAACCCTCTTCAGATCCTTCGTGAACCGGTGATGGTGGTCGTGGTGGAGCAACATAAGTAACTCTCAGTTTAGTCTCCTCAACTAGATGTCCAGCCTCTTTGCTAAACTGCAAAATTTCATTACAAGAAACAAGAATAACCAAAACCAAACTGTGTCCATCCATATGGAATCAACAATGGGATGTCATATAGTACCATCTCAGGAGTAACTTCCTTGGCTGTGACGCCAGGACTAGCTATCACACCTTGGAGCAGAAACTTGTCCTTGCACTGCATATCTGAAGGAGCTTCCTTTTGAGCTTGCATGGTCACTAGATCAAACCAGACAACAAGAATTCATCAAATTCCCAATCCAATAACACAAATCCATCACAAGAGAGAAGAAGGATAAGAGAACAGACCAAGAACTTCACAAGTAGACCTGGGAAGAACAACTCCAGTGTTAGGCCTAACACAGTACTTTTTCGGATTCGTAGTCTTAACCTAAATCATCACAAACCAAGAGAAGCCTCAGAAACACGAAACAATTTTCTCGATTCCAAAATTGATAAGGCTAAATAAGAGAATTATAACCTTAAAGGCAACATTATTGTCGGTCTTGTTCGTCAAATACAGAGAGCAAGAGATCTGCTTCTTCAATTCAACTACATCAAATCAGAGAAGAAGATTATGAGAAATACATAGATCTGGGACTAAGAGACATGCGAAATATTGAAAAGGTATGAATAAGCTTACAAGGGAATTGAAGATCGAGAGGCTCCACGGTGAGAAGCTCGCTGTTACTCATCCCGATCAGATCGCCGGAGATTCAATTCGATTTTCCAAAAAAAAACGACAAAAAGAATAAACAACAGTTTCCCGGCGATTAGATTCGTCCCGTGACGCCGTCTCCGGTTCAGAGAGAGCAGTCGTCGATCGAGAAACCGAGATCGAGAGAGAGAAGCTAATGAATTGAGTGGGACATCGCTATTTGTCTTGTTCATTTCTCAAGGGTATTGTTGTCTTTTCACTTAGGGTTTGATTGGTTCTCCCGCTAGCACCTTCCTAGCGGTTGCTAGCGGTCGGTTGCGGTTGTTAGCGGTTGGTACCAATCATAGAAACCGCTCCATACCGCTTCAAACCGCTCGAAATCGCTGAATTTCAAAAACTCCTTCCCGCAAGCGTTTGCGGTTGCGGACGGTAGCGGTTGGATTTAAAAAAAAAAAAAACAAAAAAAAAAAAAACAAACAAACCTTTACTTATAATTATTATAAAATATATTTATCCTATATGTATCTTTTATCTTTGTTTCACGTTCTCATCATAAACTCTAATCAATATTCTAAAATTTTATTTTCTCAATGTCTTCCACCCAAACTGATGAAAATCAAGAACCAAACATAAGTATCATATATCATTTTATTCATTCATCACCTCATGTGTAACTCTTTGAATATTTTTCTTAGCATCTTTTTTTTTTTTCTTTTCATTATGTATTGCTTTGCTTTTTGATTGAATATATGTTTCGATTTATTTTCTCGAATAGAAAATCACTTGTTTTTTGATTGAATTCAACGTTATTTACAGTTTGCCTCATTACTTGATGCAATTTTTGATGTTAACCCAGTATAAAATACTATCTTATTACAAAATTTCTTTATTTTTGAATAACTATTTAGTACTTTATTTATGGTTTTAATTATTAAGCATGTTCAATTTTTCTAATATTATCATAATAATATATTAGTATTTTTATTTCTTTTTTTGTAATATTTTTTTATTTTTTTTGGTCATTTTTTTATTTAACTGCTACCGCAACCGCTGATTTACCAGTCATAAAACTTCCGCAAACGCATCCATTTTCAAACGCTAAACCAGTCGTTCAAAACGCTTGGTAACGCTTGAAACCGCAACCGCCCGCTTCCGCAAACTCCCGCAACCACAACCGCAACCGCTGTGTTTAAACCAATCAGACCCTTAAAATTGATCAAAACGCAAACGCGCTCTAATCGCAAACACACATACCTAACTAAAGGATAGACTATATAGAGGATAAGAGGAATATAGAATCTGATCATAACGTTGTGTTTTTTTACTGTTACCAAAGTACTCACCAATGCTTAAAACATATGCCTATAACTCTATAACACAGTACAGAGTTTTTTTTTTCTGACATGACTTCAAAACTAAAGGACGAAACATCTCTTAGAGTATCCCGATCCATGAGATACTGTATGGGTGTCTCAAAAATACTATTTTATAAAAAAATTGGCCAATAATAAAAGGACAAGTGGAGACACAGTTTCTCAAACCAGAAACTGTGTCTATACTCTCTCCTACTTTTATATTATTTTCTATTTTTTTAATCTTGAGACATTCCTCCAGATATTACTGTTGGAGATGCTCTTATCTTTTTACTTAAGCAACATATCTTGTTGTTGTTGCTGGTTTGTTGTTCTAGAGGCAAAACCAGCAAACCAAGCAACTCTATAACAAGAGACAAAGCCCACGAAACATATGAACCACCCAAATGATCTCTACGCTGAGGTTTAACCCTCTCATCAGTTGTATATATTTTTATTTTTATTTCGATAATTACATAACTAAAACATATAAATTTTATATATATTAGGGATAGGGATGTGTGTGTGATTGACAATGTGCTTTACTTTTATGATCACTCTTATCTTGAGTTATTGTGGTAAGGAGAAGGAATGGGGAGTGGTTGCTGGTTTGAATCTTAACGGGTATGATTCCAAGAATCTCACAATCGTTGACTGCAACGGAAAGTTGGCGTTTTTGTGGCATGAACCCGAGAAAATGGAGATTTGGTGTACAATGATCGCCTTGCGTCGGCGTGGAGTAGTAGGGGTTCAAGGGCGGGTCGAGTGGTCTAATTGCCTACTCTCCGACGTCCCTCCTGACTACAAGATGATACATTGTTTAGGTGGTACGGATTAAAAGTATGTATTGAATAAAATGTTGATGGTGTGATAGATTGATGGTTTTAACACGTTTGTGAACAGAGATACTAGTAGTTTTCCTTTATTTACTCTAATAAATACTATATGTTTGCTCAATAGATCATTGTTTCTTTGGCTTAGTAAAATACAAAACCATATAAACTAGTCTTATTCGACATTATGCTCTACTTTCTTAAGGAAAACATTTTCATCGTTTTTCGTTTATTATTAAATGTCTTTCCTTGATAGGAATCTGTCAACCTTTGCATATTCTCAACCTTAACATCTACCTATCAACCTTTAATATTGAAATGAATAACATAACATACCTAACTAAAAAAGCGAATAATATAGAATATGATCATAAAGAATATGTTTTTTTTTATCATTATCACCAACTCACGAATAATAAAAGCTATACAGTGAAGTAAGAGTTACAGATCTTTAGTTTCTGACATGCACTTTAAAAACTAAACGAAGAAACATCTATCTTTACTTAGAAGCAACAGATTGTGGTTGCTGACCTGTTGTTGTTCTAGATGCAAAACCAGCAAACCAAGCAACTCTCATGAGTTGCATTCCCAAGATCAATACCCACCAAGAGACAAGCCCACGAAGCATATGAACCACCCAAACGGGTGCGTTGACCTCTGCACTAAGTGTCAACCCTTTCATCAGTTGCAAGATTCGGTAAGCCTCGTAGACAACTGGTGTGACTAGCCAGACCGGTGATTGCCAGTACCATGTGAGGATCTCTGTTAATGTCTGAACAGCAAGGAGAATGAAGTACGGGAAGAGGATAACAGCGGACGAGAGGAAAGGAAGCTGGGGTTGGAGGGAAGTGAGTAGGCCAGATTGGGATCCGAAGAGAAGTAACTGTAACAGCCCAATTTTTTTGGCCCAAGGCCCATCCAAAACCGAAGCCCATGAAGCCCAATTAATTAACCTAGGTACCCTCTCCATTTCTCTATAAAAGCCCTCCTCTCCTTGTCATTTCTCCACAACTCTCCTGAGTAAAGTTACGCTGCCGAATTTTCGCCGGAAATTAGAGTCACCATCGAACCGCCGCCGTCGAAGCCTCTCCCGCAACCGAGCCGACTAAGCCAACGGAAAGCTTAGTCGAAGGTAACTCCTAAAACCGAGTTTTAAAGGTTTTAGTTTCGGGCCGTTTAGTATTTTCAAGATTTCTCCCTAACCGCTTCGAATCTCGCAAAACCAAGGGCACCATCGGATTCGTGACGACGAGACGAAGCCGGAGACACCAAGAACGCTCCGAACCGCCGCCGGAAGCGCCTCCACGCGCCGCCGTCTCTTCCGCGCGTGTCGTCCACGCGCCACCGCCGGTGACCGGAGACGCCGTCCGTTCGTCACCGGGATTCCGCGTGTCGTACATAGGAATGGCGAACAAGATTGCAATGTTTCTCTCTGAAGCAATGAATAACAATGTTGTCATAAGCACTTGTTTGGGAGTATCGTTTGTGGTTTTGGGATTGAGATCTGATAAACAACAAAAGTATGTTGAGGCCTTAGCAGAGCAGAAGGATTCGCTCTTCAAGTCTAACAAGGAAATGAAAGTCACAATGTGGGAGTGGAAACAGCAGCTCTTTGCTGATGCCGCCTCTGCGGGTAATGCCGCTGTTGTTCCTCTGTCTAAGCTTAAGGCCATCTATGGCGAAGCCACAACCACCACTCAATCTGGTAATTACATATCTATACAAACTAGTGTCATGTTTGTGTATATGTCACCTGTAGATGGAGAACAGGAAAAAGATTAAGCCTTAGATTTAACAACTTAAGAGGGGTTACTGGTTTTGAGAATGTGTAGTTAGGTATCACTGATTGATACATCTGTGCTTGTGAATTGTGATAGGATGCAACTACAAACTAGGGTAGCTTTGGGGGGTCGATAAAGAAATATGTTGCACTTATCGAATACAAAGAGAAATGGGGTTAGAATTGATATGTTTTAGAGCGTAACGGGGAGGGAAATAGATATAATCATGATTAGAAGTCGCCTTTGGAGATTAGCTTTGCATTCACTAATTGGTTTTATGTTCTTTCTTCCAGGTGACACAACCAAGGAAGAGTCTAAAGTGTCTACCCCCAAGATCATGATATGAGAGGTTGTTAAATTTTCGGTAGGTTCATTTCACTTAAAATGATTCATTCAGATAAAGTAAAGATTAGCACTTAGTCTCATCGTTTGCATAATTGCATTTGTAAAACTAGGTTGGCATCGAGTGTCTGTTGTTGTGATCCTTGTTTATTCTCGAAAGTAAACAGTAAAACCAAAGCTCCTATAATAAGTCTATAATAAGCTCCCAAACAAATGTTTATGACAACATTGTTATTCATTGCTTCAGAGAGAAACATTGCAATCTTGTTCACCATTCCTATGTAGTCAATTCCATCAGTCTTTTGTTTCCTCAAGGAACAAATATTAGCAACTAACAACCAAAACCATAAGAAACTCATAGAAAGCTGAATATGAATCTATAGACCTAAGTGAGATCAACCAGATCGATCAATAAGCTAAACAATGAATCCAGGAAACCAAAAATGAAATTGAAGCATGAAAATGTATCTGGGAGGCTATATCGGAATGAGGAACGAAGAAAGGCTCACCTGAAATGAAGAACTGCGTTGATGGCGACGGCGGTGAGGTTTTGATTGCGGCGGCGCCGAGAGAGAAATCGCTTTCGTTTCAGTACTAAAGGTTGTTTTGGGGATATGACTGTAATTACAATTCAGTTTGAGGGGTACTTTAGGTATTTCACTGCCAAGTAAGTAAAATTATCAGGACCAGGACGATACATGGACACAGGGGAAACACTTGAAGCTATTAAACCGGATAATCGAAATCAAAATCAAATCGAAACCGGTAAGTGAAATAGTTATCACCTATAGTCTTCAATTAACAAGTATGAATCTTGAATTCGTTTCTTCGAATTCAATCAAGACGCAAACTTTTGTTTCTTACTAGTGTTATCAAATTGAAGACGATTATCAAAATTTACACCGATTAATTTTACTATGAACTCTTGGGAAAGCAGACACGAAACATATAAGGAAATCGAGTTAAAGAGTACGCATAGAAAAATATGAAATCGGAGAAACTCACCGGCGAATCGCGGAACGGTAAGATCCCTAAATCCGTTGGCTAATTCTTCTATTAACGTCTCCGGGGAGAAAAATCTTACATGTTGGATGCAAAGAGCCAAAGATAATCATGTCCGGCACAAAAACACAACGAGCTTCTATGGGTTATACGACGACGTGTTGATAACTTGAATAGTAGGCCCATCTGCTTTTAAAGCCCACTATAGATCTATAGCTTGAGAGTTTTAAACGAAATCACGAGGGTAAACGGCCTGGGCAATCGGTGGGAACCGGTTAAACCGAACCGAGTAAACCGGTGAATATTTTTAGGAAGAAGAAAATCAATAACCCAGCTACTAAATGAAATATGCCGTTCGGTTTGATCGTCCACAAAGCTTAGGCCCCGATAACCGAATGTTTCGGTTTACTCGGTTCGGTTTAACCGGTTCCCACCGATTGCCCAGGCCTACTGGTAACCAAATATTTTGATAACTATTTAGGGTTCCGTCGTCTTCCAGTGGCTAAGACGATATGTGTGTCTCCCACCAAGAAGGAGGCATCGTTGTTGTTTTCTAAATTGCCAGACGACATTGTTATAAGCGTCTTAGCCTGTGTCCCGAGACGGTTTCACCCAATTCTCTCTTGCGTTTCCAAGAAGTTTCAATGCTTTTGTACTATATTTTTTTTGCACTATTATTTTCTTAAAAAAGGGTATCAAATTTGAAACGGTTGTTCGCCTGATATACTAAGAATTTAGGGTTAAGGAAAGGAGAGTTTGAGACGTGACTTCGAGAAAACAGAATATTTTGAGGAACATATTTTTAGTACCTTGAAAATTTAGATCAAAAACAAGTTCTAAGACCTGGAACTAGTCTAGTTTGGGAAAAAGAAGAGACAATAAAAAACAGGTATAAGTAAATATTAGAGAGATGTCCGATTTAGTTGATTGTTCATACCATCATATGTATGAACTTTGATTGATGAATATTTATGGTATCCGTAATGGAAGTACCACATATTTTTTGTTACCAATAACAAAACCAGTAAAAATTAGTAGTACTAAAAAAAAAAAAATAAAAAAAAAAATAAAAAAATTAGTAGTACTAGAGGTACGTACCTCTATCATTTTCATACCGATACTACAAAGTATATTTTTACGGCTTTTAATTATTGTACTATTGCATACTTTCTTTTCCCCAAAAAAAATCTTACTACCATTTTATATCATCAGTTATTCAGTTATATTCACTAAATTTTTAACTGGTCCAAGTTTAAAGCATGGACACGTTATCCATTAATCAATTCTTTGAGTCGCAATTAAAATCGTAACTTAAAGCGGTTTATGTTCTTGAAAGTTACTTTATGAATCAGTTGACCAATTAAGCTTTAGCGTAATAACGTGGAAGTCACTGTTTTGTTTTCTTTTAAATTGAGATACATTTGTTCTCATACGGTATGAGTCAACCGATAACTTATGTAAATTTCTAACAAACGGGTTAGTGTTCCAAATACACAATCTGGATCGTATTGAGATTTTCTAAGTTGATAGATAACGGTGGTTGTGTTAAGTGTAAGACATTATTATAAGTTTTTTTCTTCTCTATATATAATATAACAAATTGAAGTTAGGAAAAGCCAAAAAAAAAAAAAAAGGAGCACTCCAAAACATTAATTAACTACAAAAAGAAAATTAATAGAAGAAGACTTGAAGCTGAAACTGGTGCATTGAGTCAGAGACCAACCAAACATCTTTTCTTTGTGCGTCTCTGTTTTTAAACCACACCCAATGTGATTTGTCTCCTTTGTTTTTTTTCTTTTTATGTTATCAATTTAAAATAATATATAATGAGATAACAAACATATTAAATTAAAATTTGAAGAGAAAAAAAATCATAGCTTAGCTTATAAAAATTTCTATTCGTTTTGGGTAACCAACATATTTGTTGCTCATTGTAATTTGTTATTTTTCTTTGAATCGTGTTATCTAGTTATTTAGTGGTTATCCGTCTTTTCATGCGATATGGTTGCCAAGTGAAAACAAGATTGGAAATTCACTGTTAAACTAAAAAAAAAAGATCCGGTGCTCCGATTGTTTTTAATTAACCCGAATTTGTCTTCCCTAAGAATTAATGCATGACCAATCAACAGCAACATAATTGTGAAGTAAGCCATAAGTTGAGTAGACCAAACAAACTAGTTCAACTTTCTAATCGTATTTAATTTATTTTTATTTTCTTGTTGAAGATTTGGGTTTGCTTTTACTTAATACTTTTCATAGGCGAATATTAGTGAAGGTTAGTGTCAGTCTCAGGATCTTTGTACCAACGGCTGGCATCAAATGGCCTCACAAATTTAGACAGAGAAGACGCATTTAATAAAATGAGATTTTTGTTTACGATTTAACTCTCCATTTCTTTTTGTCACTCACTTATTTTTTCATTCCAGCTTCTTACACTTTAATGCCTCCAAAATTTGGAACAAAAATAATTTATCAGATGAAAATGATTTCAAGGAAACTAATCTCACCAAATCCCAAGTAATTAGTCTTACCAAATTAATAGTGTGAGATTAGTCAAGCTTGCAATTACTTGGATACAACCACTCTGAGTCACAATTTGTTGGATTCTATTGGGGCGGTGAAAGTTAGTGGGTTTTGCTTCAAGTCATAAGTAAAGAATAAAGTATACTCGAAGAATATTTCTACATTTGTGGTAGACCAAACGCAAATCTACTTGTGCAGCCAAGTCTTTTATACTATCATTTTAAGTAACTTATAAATATGATGGTTAACATTACAAAATGAACTTAAGACAAGTATCTTACTACGAATTTGTGAACTTAATATATGTTTTGTAGTCAAAATTCTGAATAGCTAGCCTAATGATTAAACACAAGTACATAATTTTGTAAGATTAAGTTGGAAGTTGGAACTAGAAAATTACCAACCGAAACGTCTTATTTACTTCTAGACTAAATATCTTTGGACTTTGAAAACGATTCTCAATTCTTAGAGGCTTGACTAACTCTAATACAAAGAGAAATGAGATAAGTACTCAAGTGGGCACTCTAACTAGTAGTAGCTTTCAATAACAAACAAAGTAGAAGAAGCAAGAAGAGTCAATATTACAACTTAACACAAACATTAAAAGTCTATACTTTATATAATAAAATCAACATTAATAGTCTATAAACTAAGTAGAAGCTTATTTGAATGTTCTTCAATTTATGTGGTTAGGCCAACACGACGTGAGGCCAATACGAAAAAAGAATCGGCGTTAGAACATGTAAAAGTAGCCTCCTTTGCATTTAAAATAAACATTATCTTTTTTTTTTTCTAGCTCGACCCCAAAAATAATAATAGTAAAAAAAAAAAAGATTCAAACTTTACGAAAATTTGGACGACCCGAATCACGCAAAGTCTGTTACCTTTATTCAGCATTCATTGAAACACCACAGAGACATCGTCTTCTTCGGTTGGTGCAGGAAGATTAAGATCTATCATCCTCTGTTTCACAGACTCGTTTCTATGAACTTGATGATGCTGATTCACAGACAAATTCCCAATCCCGTGAGATCTCTTATGACCTCCAAGTGCTTGTCCCGATGCAAAAACTCTAAGACATATCGGACATTCATGGATTCTCTTCTCAGCAACAACAACAACATTATCATACTCTGTTTCGCTTCGTTGCTCTGTTTTGTTACTTACTCTGTTCTTCTTATGACTTGCTCTATGCCCACCTAATGCTTGATAAGATTTGAACACTTTCCCACAAGTCTCACACTTGTATCTCCCTTTCGTTGTTATTCGATTAATCTTGTTGTAACCTTCTGATTCTTCTTCTGTCTCGATCTCTTCTACTACTTCTTTATTACTTTTGTTCTTCTTCCATTTATCTCTCGAGAGCATCATGAGACAAAAGGCTAGATCTTCTTCCGTCGTTGTATCAGAAGCTGAGCTATGAGGAGGCTCGTGATCAGACTCAGGCTTGTAACCGAGTTGACTCGTTTTCACCTTCTTCGCTACAAACGAATCGAGTTTCCGAGTTCGCTTAGATCGTTTCCGGGTCAGGTTAATAACATTCCTAGAAGACTCGGTCTCGCTTTCACCATCTTCAAGAAGAACAGAGAACTTCGGATCATTCTCTCTCAAACCATTTCTCTTTTCCTCTGAAGAAGACGATGAAACATCTGACTCAGTCTCATCACTGAGTTGACTCGGCCTTTGTTCTTCATCTTCATCAACATGAAGACTCGGCATGTGAGATCTCATGTGACCACCTAAAGCTCTTCCATTAACGAAGCTCTTAAAGCAAACCCTGCACTTGTAACTCTCCATCTTCAAGAACAAGAACAGAGAAGAAGAAAAAGAGAGAAGAAGAGAAAAAAGTAAAGAGAAGTGGAATCTACAAGCATTCCTCTCCACCAATGAACTTAATATTTGTACTCAAACAAGATTTAAAAAGAAAACAACTTAATTAATTTTTATTTATCTCTCTCTCTTTCTTACTATTTAACAAAAAAAAACTTAAATTTAATTTTGATCTGGAAAACGGAAAGAAGAAAAAAAAAATCTAATAAAAGCGTATGCATGAAGTTGAAGAAGCGACAATGTAACATGCGAGCCTTGCCCGTTTCTGCAAACTTCTTATTACAAACTCCCTTCTCTTTTTTTGATTTTCCCGATTTACCCTTCTATTTAAGTTTTGGTTTTTTAAAAATAGCTAAAAAGTTTCTGTTTTTACACCCGAAATAGCAGAGACGCAACGCAGCTGTTTTTTTGTCTATTTCTAGGCTGGGTCTTTTAAAGTTCTTAATTTTACCCCCAAAAAAACAAACAGTTTTTTAGTGAAAAGGGTATTTTCGGAATTTGAAACTTTGCTGTTGTACGAGAAAGTCTTGAGGAGGAGGTTTGTTTTGTTGTAACGACGAACCAACCAGCTAAACAAAACCGTTGTCCAAAAAAAGGTTAACATCTCTTTGCTGTGAGTTTACAGTACGTGACAGCCACGTACTAGTCCAATGACGGTTGTTTTTTAAATTACCCTCACCGAGCAGTAACTTTAACAAATTAGTTTATAACAAAATTCCACAATTAAAAAAGTAAACACAAAAATTAAGGTTCAATTCAATGTGATTTGACCATCTTACAAGTTATTATTCGTAACAGATTCAAAGTATATTGTATAACAGATTAATTAAGTTTATAACAATAATGTTCTTTCCCTTTTAATCTGGATCTTTCTTAGTTAGATTAATAATGTGAAGAAAATAGCGTTGTCTTGGGAAAAAGAACAAGTCAAGATGCCATAATTATGGCAAACCCATATACTACCAATTTAGAGTTTTGTTTTGTTTTTTTTTCTTTTTCTTGTAACGTTCTATATTTTCCTTTCATATTGGTGTGTTTCTAATAAAAACGCGTTTTTTACTTTTAACTTCAACAAATTTACGTAGTTAGGTGGTTTACCACAATTAAGAGACTTTATGAGTGAACTTAAGAAGTCTTTATTTACCAAACTCGTGAAGAACAGTTCATCAATGCTTTGTGCAAGTACTTCTTCATTCACATACAGAAATTAAACGCCTCTCATAAACCGATCTGATCCGGTCTATCACTCTAATACTCCACATTGAAAGGTAAACTTAACCGGGTTCCGTTTATAAATCATGGGCTTTTTTAGCCGAGCGACAACAACTCTAGGCCCATATGAAGAACATAAGTAGATATGAAAAAAATTCAAATTAGTTTTTACTATCCCTTACAAGTTTATAAAACCCCTCTTCCTTTCAAACGTTACAATTCGTTTAGGGGGGAAGAAAAATTAAATCATTTCTGCTTCCTTTGAACGGGGAAGTTAACCTTAGAGTGGTAAATAGCACCAGGGCTCCACTTTTCAGGGATAACGCCTTTCGCAACGATCTTCTTACCAGAGACCGCGGAGGTAAGCCTGATGTTGAACGGACCCTTCAAAGGAACACCAGGGCTTAGTCTCCAAACAGCGGATCTCATTTCCTCCATTTTCAAATACTTTCCTCCTGCCGGTTGGACCTCGATGCAGGCGAAGTTCCCATCACCGTTTGCAAACTTAACTGCGAATGACATGTAGTAAGGATTTGCTCCGGAGTCGACATGGATAGCGATCTTAGCCTTCGGGTGTTTGCAACATGCACTGCATATATATATATATATATATATATATATATATATATATATATATATATATATATATATATATATATATATATATATGTATGATATTGATTAGAATTAAGTATATATATATATATATATATATTTATATAATCCAACATATATATATATATATATATTTATTTTTCTATCCAAAAACTTGACCAAACCGAACCGACTCGGTTTTTGACAATACGTACCGTTTGTAACTAACTTTTAGTTCTCCAAGGTTGCGTAGTTGATCGCCCTTGCCTCGTTTGGCCAATGCACCAAAGGCCTTGCCACTAAGATCAAAATGAACAGCCTCCTTCGTACAGCCGGGACACTCATCCGATATCATCACCTTAATCGGCTTTTTCGTGCACAACGGATGGTCGCATTTAAGCTATAACATATAAACATGCATGGTTAGTATATTTGTTATACATTACAATATCATTTTCAATGAATTGCAAATGTTTTATAGAAATACCCTGTAACATGCCCCACAACCCTTTCCATCTTTGAACAATGAAGGTCCTCCGGCTGAAACCATACATCTGTACGGGTGCTTTGCCACTGCATCACCATATCCACAAGCTCCTCCTGTATACATATTTTACGAACCGTACATAGGTAAATATGGACAAATGTTTTCAAGTTTTATTAGTTTATTGGAAGAATTAATGGTTTGATTAATTACCTGTGCTGCCAGGACCTTCGCGGTCGCCATACCAAGTGATGCCGGCGGTGTTCCAGTGGGTTTTATTGTGGCCAGAACAAGGCTTCAATGAGATTGCAAAGAAAGTTGTAAGAACAACGATAGAAGACAAACATTTGAGAGATGAGGAAGCCATGTTTGATTTAGATCTTGAATGGATACAAATATTTTAGAGTTTATATATATTTTATTAGGGTTTCTTTTTTAGGTTTTAAGTTTTTAGTTTCTGGTTGTTATAGATTAACAAACATAAATAGCTTTTAAATTTCTACTACAAAGACAATTATAGACTTATAGTTATCCTATATTTGAGGAAAACAAAATCTTTAAAACCGCTACCGTTCAAACAAAGGTTTATTCTGATTAGTTTCTTAATTTTACTTTTAAAATTTTCTATTACTTATTTTGGATGATATATGTAAGTTGTTAGAAATTATAAGGAAATTGTCATATTTTCAATATTTAATAGTTTTATCTTTTATGACATCATGGGCTTGGTTGATGTTTGGCTATATGAAAGCTGAATTTGGCTAATTCTTCATATATACAACATCGTAAAGATGGGAATTGAAGCCTTAAAACTGATAAAACGTAGTTGATCTTATTCACATAAAACGGTTAGTCTAAAAACGCAAAGAAATAGTTTTTTGTTGTGAAAACGTATTTCGAATGATTTTATAACTTAAGAAATAAGTGTCAATATAAGAGAGAAGTAGAAAATAGAGAGAGTTTTTGCATTGATTTTGTTGTGATCTTTTTTGGTGTACATTTTACAATGAATTTGATGGTATATATAGAGAAGAAATATAGAGATGTTTAGTGATGGTGGTCTCCACATAAATGTTTTACACCATCCATTTATAAGTGGGAAGTGTTGGTGATTTTACACCATTGACTTCTTAGTGGAATGTTTGTTGAATTTGATTTTCATAACACTCCCCCTTGGAGACCAGCGTCACTATTGTCTCTTGCGTAATATTTCTTGTTGCCTCGTTAAAAACCTTTCCAGGAAAACCCAGTGGGAAAAACCTTGGTAGGATAAAAGAGTGCAACTTCGCAAGCTCCTCCTCAAATAATCAGGATCACGTCTTACAAGTGTTCATCACCATAGATGTATGACGTACTGCCTCGTTAAAAACCTTATCATGGAAAAACCCATTGGGATAAAAACCATGATAAGGGAAAAAGAGTACAGTAACACATACTCCCCCTGGAAAAGACTTCATAGGTCTCGTAGATGACGCATTCCAATACTTTGAACATGCTTTCTAAATGTAGAAGTTAGAAGCGCCTTTGTGAATAGATCTTCTGCATTGTCACTTGAACGAATGTACTGAACGTCGACTTCCTTATTCTTCTCGAGTTCTTGAGTGTAGGAGAAGAATCTTGGAGGAATATGTTTTGTTCTGTCGCTCTTGATATAGCCTTCTTTGATTTGAGCAACACATGCAGCATTATCTTCATATAGTCTTGTTGGCTCTTTTTTGATGACTAATCCACTTGCTTCTTGAATATGGTTAGTCATAGATCTAAGTCATACACATTCTCTATACGCTTCATGAAGAGCAATGATCTCTGCGTGATTTGATGAAGTGGCTACTATCGTTTTCTTTTGAGAAAGCCACCAGATTGCAGTTCCTCCAATGGTAAAAACATATCCAGTTTGTGATCTAGACTTATGAGGGTCCGATAGATATCCTGCATCTGCAAAACCAACTAGACCAAACTCGGAGTTTCTAGAATAATATAATCCCAAATCAATTGTACCTTGAAGATAGCGGAAGATGTGTTTTATCCCATTCCAATGCCTTCGAGTAGAGGATGAATTGTACCTTGCAAGCAAATTAGTAGCAAAAGCAATATCTGGTCTAGTACAATTTGCAAGATACATAGAATGAGAAAATTCCATCATCATCATCTATCTCATTTTTAACCCATATTTTTCTATTTTGGGTATAGTTGATCTCATGGTTTTCTTTATTATTTTCGTCTTCAAGACTTTTTCCGTCTTCAGGACTTTTCTCTGTATCCAACTCTTCAGGAATCTTCTCATTTACTTCTCCCAATTTCTTTTTCTTACGGGGATTTTTATCTTTTGAGCCCATTGGTCTCCCCCTTTTCAACTGAACTTTAGGTTCATTTATTTTTCCATCAGTTTGTTCTTCGGGAACATCAATTCTAGATGGAACATTCGCAGCGGGTATATAAGATTTTGTCACCCTTCTTGTATCAGTGAATGCATCTGGTAGTTGATTTGCTAAATTTTGTAAATATACAATTTTCTGAACTTCCAGTTCACGTTGTTTCGTAGGGGGATCAAGGTGCAATAAAGATGGTGTGCACCATGTAATATCTTTTGGAATTTCATTAATTCCTCCCCCTAATGCTGGGAATTCACCCTCATTAAAATGGCAATCAGCAAAACGTGCCGTAAACATATCACCAGTTTGCGGTTTAAGATACCGAATTATACTTGGTGATGTAAACCCGACATATATTCTCAATCTCCTTTGTGGTCCCATTTTTGTTCTTTGTGGTGGAGCTATAGGTACATAAACCGCATATCCAAAAACGCGGAGATGGGATATATCTGGCTTCTGGCCAGAACCTAATTGTAATGGGGAGTATTTATGATATGCACTTGGCCGTATTTGAATTAGTGCAGCAGCATGCAAGATTGCATGACCCCATACCGAAATTGGGAGCCTTGTTCTCATTATTAACGGTCTAGCAATAAGTTGAGGGACCGGATGTTCAACCAAGGACTCAGCCATGCCATTTTGTGCCGTTTAATCAAGGACTCAGCCATGCCATTTTGTGTATGAACATGAGGGACCGGATGTTCAACATCAATTCCTAATGACATGCAATAATCATTGAAAACTTGTGAAGTAAACTCACCAGCATTATCAAGTCTTACTTTCTTTATTGTATAATCAGGGAATTGTGCTCTCAACCTGATTATTTGGGTAATGAATTTCGCGAAAGCCGAATTTCGTATGCTTAATAAACACACATGTGACCATCTGCTGGATGCGTCAATTAATACCATAAAATATCGAAATGGCCCGCACTAGAGGTGAATAGGTCCACATATATCACCATGTATTCTTTCTAAGAATGGTGGAGATTCATTCCCAATTTTCGCTGGTGATGGCCGAGTTATTAGCTTTCCTTGAGAACAAGCATTACATGAAAATTCTTTTGATTGAAAAATCTTCTGGTTTTTCAATGGATGGCCATTTGAATTTTCCACAATTTTACGCATCATGACTGAACCTGGATGCCCTAAACGTTCATGCCAGATTTTGAACGTATTTGTAAACTTCTGGTTTACAGTAATATATGATTCAATCATATTTATTTTTGTGGAGTATATTCCGGAGGATAAAGCTGCTAGCTTTTCTAATATACATTTCGAATGATTTTATAACTTAAAAAATAAGTATCAATATAAGAGAGAAGTAGAAAATAGAGAGAGTTTTTGCATTGATTTTGTTGTTATCTTTTTTGGTGTACATTTTACAATGAATTTGATGGTATATATAGAGAAGAAATATAGAGATGTTTAGTGATGGTGGTCTCCACATAAATGTTTTACACCATCTATTTATAAGTAGGAAGTGTTGGTGATTTTACACCATTGATTTCTTAGTGGAATATTTGTTTAATTTGATTTTCATAACATTTTTTTCTTTTTTCTTTTTTAAAGAAATTAAAAATCCATTCCCAAAATCTAAGCTCAACTGGTCCTAATAACTTGATCTGATTAAACACCTGCTACATACTCTTGATATGACGCGTGTCCAACAAGATAGTGTTGGATCGTACAACATCTTAGTTTCCACCAGTTCTATACTTTTTTTTTTTTTTTTCACTGAAAGATTTTCATTATATAATACAAGAGTGGAATACATGGGTGGAATACGTTTTTGGGATGCGTTTTCGAAATACAATACCGGCGGAAAACAAAGAAATCCCCGGAAGCTAAAGCCCGATACACGGGAAACATAAGAAAATATACTAAAGTCAAGAAGTGAAGCTCTCGAAATCATCGAAAAAGTCGGAGGAGAACAGAAACCGCGGAAATAAGAGCTCAAAGGTCGCAAGCTAGAGGACCTACCACCGCAAATGGAGAAGGACCAGGGATAGTGGAAACCGCGAAGACATATCCCAACTAAAAACGATTATCCCAAACATATGAAAACGCCGCGAATCTAATACCTAACCACCTAGTCTTCTAACGAACAAGTCTAAATCTAGAACTTTGCATCCCCACAAGAGGTTAGCCTTACAAGAACAGAAAAGGAACAGACCACGAGAGAAAACCTACTTATTAATCTAAACTAGAGGCGGTGGAAGGAGACACACTTAGAAGATTCAACGAACAAAGAACAAAGAAGAGATAATGCGAAAGCTATCCACAACTAGCCAACACGACCAATCCCCGGAGCTTTCTAGATATAACAAAGAGCAAAACCATGACCCAGCAATTCCAAAGACTAAACCAACAACTACCAGAAGCTAACACAAACAAACAGCTAAAACCATCCGATAAGAGAAAGGCAATATGAGTTTCAACCCGACAAGGAACAGAAACGAAAAGTCTCTGTCACCTCGCAACCACCGGCGGCGGCCAACAACAGACAAAGCCACAACCTAACATCCGCAAGAGACCACCACACCAACTCTTAAAGCAGATCCATCCGCCACCACTTCCAGAAACGAGAAACATGCCTCTCCAAAAACACCACCTCGATAAGCACCGGTAGCTCCTCCACAAAACAGATTTTGTTCTCGAGAAAATCAGATATGAGAAGAGACTAAAATCGAAGGCCATGTCGTGACGAGGAGAGGAACCGCCAATTCATAGCACCACTCAACCCAACCTTAAGCCAGAAGCTTCATCAAAAATGAACCACCGCAACCTAGAAACCCATCTCGCCTTCTCGGATCTTCAATCACAGCCTCACCAAACATAAAACGAGAAACAAAAGCAAAACTATAACAGGGGCGAGGAGGCCGGATCCGGTGCTAGGAGAGCCACCGCAATCCAGCCTCAGATTCTAGAACTTTTTTTTTTTTCCACTGGCGGCTGTCTCGAGAGAGAAACGAAGACTAGGGTTTTTGTCTTGTTTCTATGTTCGTAAGGTTTTACAATTGACCAGTTCTATACTTCTATCATGATTTAAAAATATAATAATCAGTTTGCGCGGATAATTAAAACC